TCTTAGATGTTTTGATTCTTAATTCAGAGCATTCATCTCAAGTGGATTTAGAAATTCAAATCTGATGATAAATTCACGTTTGTTGAGAATTTGGGAGGAGGAAGATGTTGTCAACTAAGCTTGTGAATAATGTCTCCTCTGACATTTTAAACTCTCAAGTGGGCTGCACCGTGGGTCAACACATATAGGCATTACGTGACAGAGATGTCCCATGTGTGCAAATAGGCTGTGTATGTCTGAAAACAGGACCTGGAAGGAAAGGTAATAGAGAAGTAAAAGGGAGAGGAGCTCAGAAATGAGGGATCTGCTCTTACAGGTGTCACGGGGTAGGGTAGGAGGAAAGGGGACATTCGTGTATCTCCTCTTAGGCCTTATGATAGGTAATATACATACACACATACACCCCCCATTTTATAGATGGGGACACTGAGTCACAGAGAAGTTAAGTCCCTCACCTAAGGTTGTTATTTATTAATAAGAACTGTAACTCAAATTCAGTTCTCTCTTGTTAAGAGTCTGGGCTTCAGAGTAACTCTACTTGATTTCCTTATTTTTCTTGGCGATTTCTCCCTCTTATTAAACATTTAATGTTATCATGAGGCCACTGTTTTCTTTTTTGTATGTAATGAGACCACTTTTTAAGTAGCTGGTAGTTTAAGATTTGCTAGACCAATTTTTTTTTACTTTTTTTTTCTAGATGCCATTCCTTCCCTTCATCCCTTCTTTAAATGTTTGTTAAGTACAGGCAGGGTGCCAGGCCTTGGGGATAGAGAAGCCAGCTTTTGAGCATTGCTGCTCAGTACGATCTGCGGGCTGTTCTTGGTCCCTGCATTCCTCAGGGTTCTCCAGAGAAATAGATTAATAGGGTGTGTGTGTGTGTGTGTGTGTAAAGAGATTTATTATAACTGGCTTTTGCAGTTATGGATTTGGTTGAGTCCCAGGATCTGCAGGGTGAGTTGGCAAGCCAAAGACCCAGGAAAACTGACAAAATAATGCCATCCAAAAGGCTCATAGGCTTCAGACCTAGGAAGAGACGCTGTTTCAGTTCATAACCAAAGGCAGGAGGAAAAAAACAAAAAAAGCACAGTATCCCAGTATGAAGACTGTTAAGTAAGAGGAAGTCTTTTACTGAGGGGAGGGTCAGCCTTTTTGTTCTTTTGAGGCCTTTAACTGGTTGGATGAGGCCCACCCACATTAGGGAGGGCAATCTGCTTTACTCAGTCTGCTGATTCAAAGGTTTAAGCTCCTCCAGAAACACTCAGAATAATGTTTGACCAAATATCTGAGCACCCTGTGGCCCACGTAAGTGGTGCACAAAATGAAACCTCACAGTCCCCAAAGTATTCTACAATAAGGGAAGCATGAAAATTATATAAGTTGACCTTTAGAAACTTCTAGAGAAATTGGACTCTGCGGCAGCCCAAGCATGTGATCAGTAGACTTGATGGACAGGGCATAGGCCCATTTGTCAAATTCAGCTGATGTATTGCATGTGGGCAGGCTGTGTCCTGGGTACATGTGTTAGGGCCAGATGTTTATCCAGGATTGACTAGGAGGAAATTTCTGGTCTAAGAAGTCCCGGTGTGTTTACAGCTGTTGACATAGGCCGTAAATCCCATGTGATGGGCTTTGTGGCGACGAGCTGTGCACAGAGCTGGGGAAGCGCTCCTAGGAGAGACCAGAGCCCATAAGAAGTCCCTGTCACCAGGGCATGCAAACCACCTTTAAAAAGGCTGACATTTTGCTGTCCTAACCCTCCCCCCACTTCCTACCCAGAGGGCTAGAACAAACCACAACAAAGAGGTCAGGAGCCAGAGAGATGAGCAGCCAAGGAACAAAAGCAGGACTCAGGGTGAATGAAATTGGAATGAGCCGTGAGCAGGGCAGGGCAACAGGCTCCTCTTGCATCAAGCGGCATTGGGATCCATCCGCCAGGGAAGAGACGCGGGGTCCCAGTGCACGCGAGGCCAGGGAGAGTTCGGGCTAGAAGGCCCTGAGGCACATCTCCAGCATGCTCTCTTTCGGAAGTAACCTGACCTAGGAAGAGGAATGGGCAGCTCAGGAGAGCCTACCTTTAGAACAAACCAGAATCATGCTGTTGACTGAGCACTTCCTATGTGCCAGGTGCAGGCCACAGTATGTACATTGCCTTTCCCAAAGTCGGTTCCCCTCCTTAAGGCCTGGCATTTATTATTTTGTATGGCTTCATTGTTGAGAAATCTGTAGGGCTTTATTTTTTATTTTATTTTTTAAAGTTTATTTAGTTTGAGAGAGGAAAGAGAAAGAGTGTGAGCAGGGGAGAGGCAGAGAGAAAGGGAGAGAAAGAATCCCAAGCAGGCTCTACATGGTCTGGGCAGAGCCTGACGTGTGGCTTGAACTCATGAACTGTGAGATCATGGCCTGAGCCAGAACCAAGAGTAGACGCTTAACTGACTGAGTCACCCGGGTGCCCTGAGAAATCTGTAGAGCTTTAAAGTGGAGAAAACACCTGCAGGCCTTAGAGACCTAGGTTTGGTTAAAACCATTTGGGGTCTAGGGGCACCTGGGTGGCTCAGTGGGTTAAGCGTCCAACTTCGGCTCAGGTCCTGATCTCATGACTTGTGAGTTCAAACCTCATGTCATGCTTTGTGATGACAGCTTAGAGCTGGGAGCCTGCTTCGGATTCTGTCACTCCCTCTCTCTCTGCCCCTCCCCACCCCAAATAAATAAACATAAAAGAAAACCATTTGGGGTCTAAAGAAGGGTGGAATATTGATAGTTTTTCCTCCTTGCTACACTTGGAATTGTAATTGCTTGGGGATTATATAACTATGACTTTATTTATAAGCACGTAATCAAAGAATTACAGGCATGAAAAAGTGGGGCATTGGGAAGGGAGTCAGAGGAAGTGATGACTCCCTTGGGAAGCCTACCTGCTCTTCCACTTTGCTTCTGGATGAACTTGGACCTGCCTGAGGCTGAAGGGAAGAGGGCTCAGAGATGCCACAGGCCAGAATAAGCCAAGGTTTGTTGGCCCTTTTCTCAGAGAACAGCTCCGTGTTCAGAAAATGTACAGCCTTTAACACGCTAATTTACGTCATCAACTCAACTTACCTATAATACCACTTACTCTTACTGGAAACTACCAGAACCATTTGCCCAATGAGCGGCAAAGCGCTCAGAGCTTTGTATTTCCTTGTCTTACTTAAATTCCCATCGCACTTCTGAGGTTAACATTTTTCCTCCCATTTCAGAGACTGGCAAACCTAAGCTCAGAGCTTTTAAGCAATCCATCCAAAGAACGAATTTCTAGTTTACCTTTGTTGTGAATTTTCTGGTGCTTCTGGGACCCCGCTATGCTTCCAGAGCTTGCTGGGTACCTTCCTAAATGTTGTTGCTGTTGCTGTTGTTTTCCCCGTAAGAAAGAAGACCCGTCAGGCCCCAGAGCATCTGTACCTCTAACTCTGAGCACTTTCGAAAGCAGGGGCATGGCCCCATACAGTCACGGAAACCGTACTTCTGCTCAGGCTCCACCCTGTTGGGAAGGCTTAAGTGTTTAGAGTCTGTTTCCTCATCTGTAATGGAAGCACCAACCGGTTGCCACCTGCTTTTGCTGTGATAACCTGGGACACTATCTGCACAAACCACCCAGCACTGCACAGATCCACAGCGGGGCCCCGATGCTGATCTCTCCCCACCCCTGCTCGAAGGGTCGATGCCAGTTGACCAAACACAATTGCCATCAGTGGCCTATTCGTTTTTATTCTCGGTGGAACTAATTCGGTTTTACCAAACAGGGAAACAGGTTTCAAAAGCCTGGGTCAGAGCTCGTAATCGGCCAGTGCGGTGACAATACAACCCTAAGTAACCTGCGATCCCGTGTCCCCACACGCTCAGCCTCGGCCTCTGATCTGTGGTCCTGGGCAGTGGAAGGCAGCGAGTCCTAGATGCCACGTTGATAGGAGAGGGCCAGGAGCTCAGGTGTTTAACCCTGAGGTGATTAAGAGGGAGAGACCTGAGTCATGTTCGTGAAGGCCCAGAGATACATCAAAAAGCCCTGGGCAGAGGCCGACGCAGTACAGCAGCACAGGTGAACCCCGCAGGGTGTATGTAATTCATTGCATTCTTTGATCCGCAAGTTTCGTGAGTCACAGAGGCTCTCTGGGATGGTTTGGAAGCTCAGTGGGGTCTGAGCAGGAAGAAGAAAAACTTGAAGTATGGAAAATGAGAAGTTTTTTTTTGGCGAGTGGCTAAGAGAGGGTAATTTTCTAGAGATGTTATTTTTGCTTAGTATTCTCTAAGGCAGCCGTGTTATAGCTGGCTACGCGGATTTCTGCAGCATAGGAACAGAGAGGACAGACAGCCTTGGGTGTGTCGTGTTCCCGGGGGCCTGTGTACAGGGTGTGGTATGCTAAGTATCTTTGGGAGATGGGGGTGTTACATTCATAAAATGGTTTAAAAACCCATAACTCTCTATAGGGCCTCTTATGAAACTGTATTTAAGTGGAGAGTGTATAGGATGAGGCATAAGACAGACCTGGGTACGAATTCTGATTTTCCTGGGAGGTGATACCTCAGAAACAGGGTTTTGAAGGATGAATAGGAGTTCACATAGGAAAACTAAAATGAACTTTGTCATTATTAATATTTGTTCTTTTTGCTGTCTTTCATTTTCTCCTTTTCCTCATTCCCTTCCTTCTGCTATACTCCTTCATATCCATCTGTGTTTTATTGAGCACAAAAACGTCTACCAGGAAATGTGCCAAGGTGGGAAAAGAAGACAAGGTATTTGATTAGGAAAAATTACAATCGTCCTCTCTAAATAGCGTGTTCGGCTTTATCGCCTCCTAAGTCATTCTGTTCTTAACTTTGTCCCCAGATCAGTCTGGATGCGTCTCTCGGTCGGTCGCTCACTTTGGATCCACTTGCCCTCGAGAGCGGAGCAGAGGCGTGGGGTGCGGGTCGGGGCTCAAGATGTGCTTCCTCGCGGCTAACCCGCCCTGGTCTTTCCGCCTCCGCAGATGGGAAGCCGGGGTCCCTGTCTCCGCTGGAGTCGCAGCCACACAGCCCCCGTTACGCGGCCGCCGGCCAGCGCGAGAGCCTGGAGGTGCGCGTGCGCGAGGTGGAGGAGGAGAACCGCGCGCTGCGCCGGCAGCTCAGCCTGGCGCAGGGCCGCGCCCCTGCCCACCGCCGCGGCAACCACTCCAAGACCTACTCCATGGAGGAGGGGACCGGGGACAGCGAGAACCTCCGCGCGGGCATCGTGGCGGGCAACAGCTCCGAGTGCGGGCAGCAGCCGGTCGTGGAGAAGTGCGAGGTAAAGAGCACCCCGCACCCCCAGCCCTAAACCGGGAGGCGGTCCAGAAGCCAGTGGCCCGCCCCCCTCGCAGATGCCACCGGGAAGCACCGCTGGGTGCCCGCAGAGGGCCGGCATTCTTGACTCCGGCCCACGTGTGAACCTGTCAAGGTCACTGCCATTGCCTCTGGCCTGGCCAGTCGATTAGCCTCTCTGAGCCGTAGTCTTGTCATCTGAAAGATGGGTACGAGAAGGCCTGTAGCACAGAGATCTTAAGAGGAGCACAGGGGTGGAAACAGCTGCTTCCTTCTTTGCAGTTCGTTTGGACCCACTCAGGGTTTCCACGCCTAGTTGTCATCCTGGGGACACCCGCTAATTTAGACTATGGTGTGAGTGGTGTAACCGGAGTGGCCACCTCCTCACTTTGGGATCAGCTTCTGGAGCTCAGAACCAGAGACCTGTTGCTTCTCTAAGGCAGTGATTTTAAACTTTTATAACTGAATGTCCTCCCCCCCACCCCAGTAACTTTCTGTCTTAGTAACTCTTTGGACGTTTGGAGAACTTACCCACCCTTCTCCCCACCGGCCTCATCCCTCTCGTTTGTGCTTCTGTGCACATTGAACACAAGTGCATGCACATTCGTTTCCTGATTCTCCTGGTTCCCAAGACATCAGAGCACCCCTGTTACAAGCAGGGCCTTTTGTGACCCAGACAAGCCTGAGTTTGTATCTGAGCTCTGATGGTTTCTGCTGTGGGTTCTGGAGCAAGTCACCTAACCTGTCTGAACTTCGGATGTCTCACCAATAAATCTGAGGAGATAATTCCTGCTTCATGGGGGATTTATGAGAAGTAAATGGGATGGGCCATAGAAAGCCACAGACTAGGTCTGGTTCCTAGTATGTGTTCAGTAAAGGTTAATTTTTATTAATTTTAGCTAGATATCTTACCTGCTGTTGCTTTATTCCCTTTCCTGGCCATATTCTTAGAATGTTAAGACTTCAACCCCACTAAAAACACTTGGCAAACTGTAACGTGTTGTTCCTGTGAGAGGGGTCCTTGGTTACATTGCTGATACTACAATATCGGTTATTAGTGTATTGCTGATACCACAGTCAGGGAATGTGGGGCTTCCTCAGCAACACAGGCTCAGTTCTGGGGAAGGTCAGAGGTGAAGGAGAGCCCTGTGGTTGGGAGGATTTGTTGTGGTTTCTCAAGCCTGGTTGAGGGCTGGAGAGGTAGACACAGGTGCATGGAGCCTGTCCAGTGAGAAATGTACACGCGAGTATGAAAAATAGGAAGCAAAGCAGGAAAGAACGTAGGACATGGGGAGTTGGTCAGGAAGCACAGAGAACCTGGGCCAGGAAGTGACTGTACTGCATTTTCATTCATTCTTTCAGCCGATAAATAGTTACTGGGCCTCTGTTACATATCCCACTCTGTTCCCTGTGGTGGGAAATAGCAATGAACAAAACTCCCCTTCTCTCATGTTGAGGTGGAACGTGGAGGAAGAGATGTGCAAGAAACAGAGAATTGCAAACATCGGGACTTGCTAAACGCCGGGTGTTTTTTTAGCCCTGTCTGCATGCCTAGTCCCATCCATTTAATCTCTCACTGCCATCGCCCGTGGCCTGTGGTACTGAGTATCTCTCTTTTACATCTTTGGAAATGGGGACTCGGAAGTGTTATCACCTTCTCCCACTTTACGCTGGTTTGGGGAAAGGCCCTAGTTTTGAGAGCTTGTATTCTTTTTTTTTTTTTTTTCCCCTTAAATGTTTTATTTATTTCTAGGAGAGAGAGAGAGAGAGAGACAGCATGAGCAGGGGAGGCTCAGAGAGAGAGGGAGTCACACACTCTGAAACAGGCTGCAGGCTCTGAGCTGGCTGTCAGCACAGAGCCCGACGCGGGGCTCGAACCCACGAACCGCGAGATCATGACCTAAGTGAAAGTCGGACGCTCAACCGACTAAGGCACCCAGGCGCCCCTTGAGAGCTTGTATTCTTGCCTGGGAGAAGGCTTGCTTGCGTTCTTGCGTGTTGTCTGCCCTCAGGTCACGGCCCTGATGTCACTTCAGGGTGGGTGATGGAACCCTGCCAGCCAGGTGGGAGGGTCCACGCAACCGCCTGAGAATCGAGGAGGTGAAAAGTGGAAAGGAAAAGAGAAAAGGAGGACACAGGTGGAGCAGAGGGTAAAAGTGGGGGCTTTCTCTTCCTACCACGGTCCGTCTGGCCAGCAGTTCCTTTCCTCTTTCTAAGGAGGGCTGGCGGCCCACTGACCTAAATCCTGGCCCCGTTCCCAGCTCCATAGCCACGTGGCACCAAGCAGGTTGTATCATTTTTCTGTGTCTTCGTTTCCTCATTTGTAAATTACTGATAAAAAGATAAAAAGCAAGCTTCTGCCCTGTACTGTGTCAGGGGTGACAATATATATTATAACTAGAGGCAGGCTCTCAAATAGGTGTTATTGGCATTAGATTTCACTGTGAAGTATTAAAACATCCCGACTAACCATGGCTTTGAGTGTTACTTCTCTTGATGCTTAAGAAGGCTGGAGGCCTTTTGAGTAGGGATGTCTGTTTAGGGATAGGGCTTCCTTCATGTTTTGCTCAGCTTGCTTGGCTGGCATTCCCAAGGTGGTCTCACGGTCCGTAATGACTGTCCTGTGTCTGCATTCCAGCAGGCAGGAAAGCAGCATTAAGGCAGGACATGCCGCCTTCCTTTAATAACACGTGTTAGACTCACGATCTGTTCTCCTTGGAGCACGTTGGTGGAAGAGTATTACTGCAGGACCATTGGCAGCGGCCACCCGGCTGCAAGGGAGCCTGGAAAAGTTAGGTTTTTATTCAAGGAATAAATATTCTTTGAAATAAACATTCAAAATGTTCTCTGCTTACGTTTTTGGAGCTCTGCTACTAGACCAAACAGATGTTAAGGTTACAGTGAACGTTCTCTCTCACACGGGTTGTGTCCAAATTTGATTGTGACTTAGAGTTACGTACCAGAAATGCATATTCTTGGGACCCACCCTATTATAGTCCTATTAATTGCAAATCTCTGGGTATAGGCTGCAAGAACGTGGGCTTTAAAGAAATCTGTGCAAGTAAATCAAGATAGTGGGACATGTTTGGAAGCCGCTGCTTGAAGGCACAACATAAACAATGGGGTTCTCTTTATCCCCTTGCTTTTTGAAAGATAAAGTACGAATATAGGAATTGAGACCTTGGGATTGTTGATTCTTATCATAACTTCTCTTTTAGTCTTTTGATTTGCACCTGGGAATTAAGCTTTCTTCATTTTCCTTCTCTTTCCCTGTGTGTCTTGATAATGTAACTTCTTAGGTCCTTAAGGTTAGATTTGGTAGAATTATCTGCGATGAAACCCTGGTCCTGTTCAGAGTTTCCGGAGATGAATTTGAGAGTCTTGATCGACTGGCGTCATATTTCAGCATGGTCTCCTCTGGGTCCACATTTACCTTGAGATGCTGACTTCATACCCATTACAGTATAAATGCTTTCTCTGTCTCCATCACTTGGTATCTTTAAAGATTTCAGTGAAGAAGCCATAGAGGCAAACAAGAAATGTCAGTCAGTGGAGTCCGCACAGAAGCCTCCCTTCGTCACGACGCTCTGCGATTGCAAGTGCCGAAGCTGGTCCTGACACCCTGTCAGAGCATAGCGCCTCATAACCAGGGATGTTGTCATCCTCTCTTGTGGCACTGAAACTTCTCTGAGGTATGACAAGTATTATTGGAAAGTCTTCTGTAACGATGCCGGGCTGTCAGCCGAGATATCTGGTGATGGAAACAATGGGCCCTTTCCAGTCCCTGCGCCCTCCTAATTATGTGGCCTTCTGAGAGCTGTCCGTTTATTCCTGCCTTTCTCTGTTGTCAGGGCAATGCTGTTTCAGCGAGGCACTGGCTTCTGTGTGCCACGGAGCTGGGAGCGGAATGATCCCCTTTGATCTCCACTCGGGCCGCGGCGTGTGTGTGGATCTGTGTATTTTCCGTGCGTTTCTGCGTTTCTGGTCCTAGAGTATTCTGGGAGTCCGCTCTGGTGCAGCTGAGAAGTCACGGGAATTGGAGTCCAACTTCTTGGCCAGGAATCTTTGCCTTTGTCAGTCACTAGTCACGTGAGCTTGGGTGATTCCGTTACCCTCTTGTAGTCTGTTTTCATCATTACAAAATGAGAATTACAATATGTCCTTCCCAGTGCAGCTGTGAGGCTGAAGCAAGGCAGTGGGTGGGAAGCTAATTCTGCAGGAATGTCTCATATACTTACTCTGGATGCTTCCCTTTCCTGATGCTCCCTAACACGCACCTAAAATGTAATGGCTTAAAACACTATTGGTCATTTTGTTAGGTCTCTTTTTTGGGGTCAAGGATTTGGAAAGAGCTTAGGTAAACAGTTCTCTTTTGGGGGTCCCTCGAGAGTTATCTAATTAGTTTGTGGCTAATGCTGAGCAGTGAGGGCTGGAGCAGTGGGCTCTGACCCAGCATCCTTCCTTCCTGTGGTAGACTCCTGTCCCTGTGGCTGGTTTGGACTTCCTTACAACATGGCGGCCCCAGGGAAGTTGACTGCCTCCGTAACAGCTGAAGACTAAGTACAAGTACCCCAGTGACCAAGAGACAACAGAAGCACTTTTTATGACTTGGCCTCAGAAATCACACAGGTGGCAGAAGTAGAAATCACACTTCTACTGATAGCGTGTGTAATCTTTTAGTTGGAAGTGGCTCAAAAGTTCACTCAGTTTTGTGGGGAAAAGGGTACATACCCCATCTCTCAATGAGAGGAATGTCAAAAGAATTTGTGGATGTACTGTAGTATAGCGACAATGAATATGCTATGGGAGGTCAAGTGAAAGGTCTCTCTGATTTGAGACCACCATTAGGGAAGTATGTCTCTCCCTCTACACCGTGCTTTGAGCTTCATTTCTCAGTATTAATGTAATAGCAATAAAAGTTAACATTTGCTCAGCCTTTAGAGTGGAACAGACACTATGCAAAAATTTACATAAAATATCTCATTC